TGTCAAGATGGCATGAAATTATGTAACTACCATAATGCTCAACATCATTAGCCTTCCCAAAGCATCTGAATCTTTTCTGACCATTCTGATTCCAACTCAAAGCAACCTTACAGGCCACAGAACTGCCTGTTGGGGTTTTCATGGCTGTAGGTCTACAGAAGCCAACTAATACATCTTTCTCCCACAGAGTAGTTGGATGATTTGAACCACTAACTTTCTGATTAACAGCTGAGCCCTTTAACCACTGTATCACTATGCTCCATTAGCCATTAAAACAAAACAAAACATCAAACCCACTGCCATCTGAGAAAGTCAGTCTCTCCCCCTCCAGAGCTGCTGGTAGGTTAAAACTACAACCTTGTGGTTAGCAGCCCAACACCACACCAGCAGGGCTCTTTAAGGAAACACTAATCAAAACAATGAAATACCATCTCACCTCTATTAAAATGGCAACAAACAACTAAAAAACAACAGGTATTGATGAGGTGGTCAACATTGGACTCCTCATCTATGGCTAGTGGGAATGCAAAATGGTATGACCACTATAGAAAATAGTGAGCAGTTCTTCAAAGAGCTGAACATTCAAAGAACAACCATATGACCCAGTGATTCCAATCTTTTGAATACACCAATGTTAATTGTAGCACTTTTGCAATAGTCTAAAGGTGGGGACAACTGATATGTCCATCAATAAATGCATGGATTAAAATCGTGGTCTATTTACACAATGAAATACTACAGCCATTAAGAGAAATGAAGCCTTGAGACATGTCACAATTTGGAAGAACTTGAAAACATCACGCTGAGCAGATTAAGTCGGTAGCAAAAGTAAAGGGATGAGAGGAAAGGGAAAAGAGTAGTTTTTGCTTAGAGGGCACTTAACTTATGTTAATGGTGGTGGAATGATTTAGAAAAAGCGTGAATAGTTGCTGCTCAACTTGAGAAACGTAATCAGTGTTGTACCTATAAAAATTGTTCAGATGGCATATATATTCGCAATTGAAAATACAAAACCTGATTCTTAAGACATAGTTATGTTAAATCTTGACAGCTTATCAAAGTAAAGAGGCTGCTATTTCCCTTTCTTCAGAAGATACTACTTTATTTCAATTTTCTTTTTTACTTTGAGAAGTTTCACGCTCATGGAGGTGAAAACAATGTCCTACAATAAAATAAAAAAAATAAGTTATCATTTACCCCAAAGCAACAAGGATCTTACATACAAAGGTTAAAAAAAATCATAGAACAAAATCTAAAATATTCACTAAAGTTCATTAGTACTGTAATTCAATTAAGTATTAGGATCATATAAAACAACAAAATAACCACAAAGAGGTGAAACGTTGTTAGTTTTTTTTAAGTCATAGAACATAAAGGAAAATACAAGAGTAAATATTTAAAATCACCTGTTTAAGTGATAAAGTTTCTGGCAAAATGGAAAGTCACATTATATAATAAATATAATTTCCATCTGTATTTTAAACCTATTGTCAACGAGTAGCAGATTTTAAGGAAGACAGAAGCGATTTTGAATGGTAATACTAGTTGAATACATGCTCAAAATTTAGATCTAAAAAACTCAATGTTTTTAGTTGGACTTAAAGGCTCTTTTGTCAAATATGGAAGCATGCTACTTAATCTGAAAGAAGTGAGAATTTCAGTGAAAAAGTTATTCTATTCACTTAAGTCTGGGAGGGTAAAATCTCCCACTACCATCACTACCGTTTACAATGGGCTGGGGGAAAGGTGAAAAGGATATAAAGCAGTACAAAATTTGTATAAGTGCAAAAATCTATTAAAATAGTAAAGAAAGTCTGGGGAAAAAACAAACAGGGGAGAAGGGAAAAGAGGAAAATGAGGAGCTGATTCCAGGAGCCCAAGCGAGAGTTTTGAGAATGATGGAGGCAACGAATGTATAAGTGTGCTTTACACAATTGATGTGTATGTGGATTGTGATGAGAGTTGTATGAACCCCAATAAAAAAGATTTTTTTAAAATACAGGCATGTACATATGTAAATAAATATATATATATATATGTATATATAATGAGAGGGGAATAGAACCATGTACTCATATCTATATGCTAAGAATAAAGGTTGCAGATGGACACTGAAACAAAAAACAGGAAAAAAAGTCTGCAATACTATATTACTAATCAAATAAACTGGCATCGTTATAGCTAATTTCAAGAGTTTCTAAAGTAATTTTGAGTAACATACCCTCAAATCAGTAAGATTGTCACATATCTATAAAAGGTTTTTCCTATGCTTCATAAAAGGTGGAAAATAAATTCTATTTTCCACTAACTCTCAAAGATTATTTTATTTTAACTAATCTAGCCGTCACTGATTTAATGGCCAGTAAACACATAGTAGTTTTCAATGCTATCAAGGCAATAAAGAATTGCCTGCCTCTAACAATTAAATTAAAATCTATGATCATATCTAAGTTCTGTAATAGTCTTTTACTATGAAAACCCAATAACTTGTCACTAAATTGTGACATTTTAGTGCACTTCCTGGTCTTAAATGTAAATGCCTTCAAAAAATATCCAAATTAAACAACTTTGCTTCTAGCATATATTTACAGATACCTAAAGCTCAGTATAATTGAGTTTATTATGCCAAAGTAGATGAGCTCTAATCTCATAAAAGTTTCCCAAGGTTTAAAATAATCAGTGTTTAAAAGACAATCAAAAGAAAAAATTTAAATCTGAAGTAATCTATAGTAAAATAGAGAATTCCAATTAAAAGTATAAATTATAGATAAACCATACATAGTACAAGAGAATGAAGACAGATTATTCTTAGTCATCTGACCTATGATCAACTCTATTTCCACTCCATATTATGAATTAGTAAAGCAATGGACTTCAATTTTCCTTTTATGTGTCTAAAGCTGAAAGAAGAGAAAGCACTTTGCTAACATTCTATAATAAGATAAAAATGGAAGAAAAGCTCTTTTATAATCATGCTTCAAATATCTCTTTCACTGCTGTGGTAAAAATGTTGTACAGGAAAACACAGTTCTAAATTAAAGATTCATTTCAGTATGTTTTCAAATTCAAGTGATCACAATATGCCTTCCAGGTCCACGCACTTATTAACTTGAAAATTTTTTATAGTTAAGACAAATCTTCAAGATTAGTCATATTAGATATTTGTCATCATTACCACATTTTTATAAAAAGAAAGTGACACAGTGCACCCAGTACCTTCAATATTTTAAAATCAACTTCTCATTTCCCCCCTCAAGGTCTATTACTAAATTACATTTAGCCAAAAGAAAACGACCTATCTATGTAGTCTGCCCTGGAAAATCAGTGTTTATATATCAATGCAACTGTTATTAATGATTCAGAAGCAAACACTGGAACAAAATCCATGGAGTGGATCCTCCGTGTGTCTGTGTGTGTGTGTACACTGCACATATGCGCATTCAAAATAATGTAACCCTGTACACACACACACACACACACACACACACACACACACGCTCTCCCCTTCTGCTGAAATTCAAAACATCTCTATATAACACAGGTTACAATAAAATTGCCCTCATCTAAGGCTCACAGAGCAATTTCTTAAACGAAGGATGAGAAGAGTTGCTGCCACCTATATCAACTTTAATTCAAAGCACAGTACAACCGAATGTCATCTTTACCTCTCACGCAGCCAAGAGAGGAACAGAATTAACTTCACGAGGAGCTACAGGATCCTGGAATTCCCACTGATGACTTCCTTCTGTGATTTGACAGTACCTGTAATGCGTGTAGTCTTTTGTCCCTCCCACGGTATCCCTGGGTGTCAACATCGTCTTAGTCAAAGCAAACGACAAGCAAATCCTTTAGAGGGTTACTTCAGCACCCTTCATTACGAGAAAGCCGCGGCCTTCGTGGACCTTTCTATCCAGGCAGACTCTATAGTCCCAGGACCCCTTTATTACATTTGGGGGGCCCGGGAGTGTAAGCGGCGCTCGGGATTTGTGAGTCTCCTGCGTTCAATTCAGAACCAGCAGCTGCATAAGTACAAGTGAAATGTGGGTCACCCCGAGAGAGAGAACCAGAACGAAGCTTCGTGACCCTCCAAGTTTAGAGAAGACACCAATACGTCTCTCGGGGAAATGGGGCAGAACCAGAACGGCGGAAAGTGACTGAGTCTGGCACAAGCCCAGGGCGTGGGCAGCGACCCAAGGGTCCCCCTCCTCTAGGTCCTCCGATGGGCGAGGGGTGCGGCCCGAGGAGGGCTCTGGCCTGGGGGAGGGCGGGGCCCTGGGGAGTCCTCCCGGTGCCTTGGGGGGCTAGGGGGCGTGTCCTACCTGGGCCGTGCCGGACGCAGGGATTTCGGGCGGAGGGTACGGTGGGACTCACCGCCGGGACCATCAGGGGTCAGCCCTCAGGAGGCGGAGCCGCCGCCGCCAGCCCATCCCCCGCCGCTCGACTGCGGCGGGACTCGAGCGCGGGTTCGAGGGCCGGCCGGCTGGGTAGTCCCCCCAGGTACCGTCCGCGTTTAGTGGCGGCGGCGGCTGCTGCTGCTGTTACTGCCGCTGCTGGCC